TAGAATGATGTGTGCCAAGTTTCGTGAAAATCGGTCCAGATTTAGATATAGCTCCCATATATAGTTTCGTCCGATTTCATGTAAATGGTACACCAAAGCGCTATATATCTTTCGATTGCCACGAAATTTGGCATAACGTACTGAATTGAGCCTAGAAAGATGTCTGCCAAGTTTCGAGAAAATCGGTCCAGATTTCTATATAGCTCCCATATATAGTTTCGTCCGATTTCATGTAAATGGTACACCAAAGTCGCTATATATCTTTCGATTTGCACGAAATTTGGCATAACGTACTGAATTGAGCCTAGAAAGATGTCTGCCAAGTTTCGAGAAAATCGGTCCAGATTTCTATATAGCTCCCATATATAGTTTCGTCCGATTTCATGTAAATGATGCACCAAAGTCGCTATATATCTTTCGATTTGCACGAAATTTTGCATAACGTACTGAATTGAGTCTAGAATGATGTCTGCCAAGTTTCGTGAAAATCGGTCAAGATTTAGATATAGCTCCCATATATAGTTTCGTCCGATTTCATGTAAATGGTGCACCAAAGTCCCTATATATCTTTCGATTTGCACGAAATTTGGCATAACGTATTGAATTGAGCCTAGAGTGATGTCTGCCAAGTTTCAAAAAAATCGGTCCTGATTTCTATATAGCTCCCTTATATAGTTTCGTCCGATTTCATGTATATGGTTCACCCAAGTCTCTATATATCTTTCGATTTGCACGAATAGTCCTGTAATAGTCCTGTTTAATATACCCATAGTGGTGAAGGGTATCATATAGTCGGCCCCGTCCGACTTTACTACTTTCCTTACTGGTTTATATTTAAATAGTTAGCTAATTTGTTCCGTGTGTTGGGGTTATCCCCATATAGCTGTATTCCACCATAGAATGGGGGATATTCTGTAGACGATATTTCATACCTTGCATAGTATGGAATTCTAAAACGATTTGGTCGATTTAGCCATATGTTGTAATAATTTTTCTATTGGAGGATATCGACATAAAAACTAGAACGTGAGGTTTGAGAATGAACTATATCGACCCGCATTTAGGCCCAGATCCTATATAAAACATCCTAAATATTTAATATTTACCGTGATGTACGCTATTGGGATTCAAAACTAAATTATTAGCTTGGAACTTGAGCTATATTGACCCTTAATTAGGCATAACCTCTCATATAATGAAAACACCAAGTATACGCTAATTCCTACACAATGTTGTCAATATTGGTACCGCTTTAGTATGCCTCTTATAAATTTGCCCTTTAAATTGGAGCATTTTCAGGACTTTATACACATGTTTCACCCTACTATGTAAACATTTTGGGGTTTTGAGATTTTAGGGAAAAACCCACATTGAAACTGCAGAAATATCTATTTTGTTAACAACAATCGATTGATAAAATTGTAGTATGTTCCCTATATTTTAATTCCAACAATTTTTCAGCATTTCTATGGAGGAGGTTCCAAAAGTTCGGCCGTGCCGTGGCCGTCATTTCTTCTGCCAGATGATTACCATAACATAGTCCTCCAATATAAAATTCTCGATCAACTTTATGTTCAGTATCAACCTCATGATGGAGGTTATAACAAGTTCTAAACGACATTTTTACCTTTTTCGACAATATTTTCTATAGTTTATACAAAAATACAATTATGGACAATTTCTATCTGTAAATTCGTCATATTCCACTGTGCACAGAAAAAACCTCCATCAGAAATTCCCAGCCAATTTTTTGTGCATTCTCTTTCAAAAATTACATTTTACCGCTTTTATTTAAAATTTTATGCCAATTTAAATTAGTGTTCGAACAATAACTACAACTTCAATGGCAAAGGTAACAACAAAAGCAGCAACAATTACAACAACAAAGGCATGTATCCCGCAATTGAGAACTATAATACAAAAAGCTTTTAAGGCATTTTAGGCGACCTCTTGCACTTTGGACGGTTAGTTGGGTTTTTTGTTGTTGTGATGGCTATTGTTGGTTTGTTGTGGTATTTTGTTGTGTTGCCAGACATGGTTCGAACAATGTGAGAGTTTGTTGCAATGTTGCCCGGTGGCTACGCGCCACCAAACACCAAAAGTTCAAGCCAGACAAGACTGGAACTCACACACAAATGGCGAATGTTTTTGGTGGTTTTTGTTGTTGTTTTTATGTTACCATTATTATGAGTAGTACGGTACGCTTTCGGCCTTAGGCCATTGTTGGGACGAGAAAGAATTGATCACATGGTCGAAAGGAAAGAATGTAAGCCTGGTTGTGTGTTTGTGTGTTGGAGGGGAAATGGTCAACCAAAGAAAAAATTGGCTCGTCATAATAATTGCTTTTTACGATCACTGATCACACAGCCATCGCACCAGCGTTGGCGCTTTATTGGTGTTCGGAGGTCCAAATTGTTGCTGTTGCAATATTTGCTGCATTGTTGCAAGACCTCGACCAAAATTTGGAGCATTTGAGTTGCAGTGCACCAGCATTACTCTGTGGTGCCTGCACGAATATTGTTGTACTTACAAATTGTTATTGCTGTTCATTCGGACCTTTTCGGTGGTGGATGTGATCTGTATTGGATTTTAGTTTGTTTCCTTCTACGTTGTACAATTCATTGAGAAGTTTTTTTTTTTTGCTTCGCTGCAAGATTTTTTTATAGCTCACGACTTTGTTCAACATTATTTTTATGAGATATTGTACCATATTTTTTTTTCTCCCGCAATAAACGTCGTTGTTGTTCATTCCTTTTGTTGGTTTCGTTCCCCAAATTGCCATTTAAGTTCGTATTATATGCTCATTTTGGCAAATGGGTGTGGCGTCGCCTTACCCCCACCCTGCAACCCGTACTCCTACCATGTATGGACAACCACAAATTAGTTCTGATCATGATTTCGATGATGATGATCTCTTAATGGCAGAGCATTTTGAGGTCAATCAATGTATTGAGCCTACGTGTTACACGCCACATACGCTCGCTCGGCTTGTAAGGTGAACGATTGGCCGGGAGTGAGCATTCATCTAAAGTGGAACAAATTAATATGGCGTGGAAATTTAATGTTGTGTGTTTTGTATGTTAGTGGGAAATTGCAAAAGAATACCGTAATCGATAATATTTCGGACAAAAATGATTGTTATCGACTACAGTTGTTACAGACAATATTTTCTCAAGAAAATATTATGTTCCATCATTTTTTCTTACGAAAATATTATTATCGACAATACTTTCTCAAGGGAATTTTAATATCGATAATTTTTCCTCAGGGAAATATTATTGAATTCAGATCTATAATATATTCTGAAGAAACTATTGTTATCGATATTACTTTCTCAAGAAAATATAATAATCGATTATATATTTTGGGTGAATATTGTTATCGATATAAGTTTCTTAAGAAAATACTATTATTGGTTATATTTTCCCAAGAATATAATGTTATCGATGACATTTTCTCAAAAAAATATTGTTATCGAGACTATTATCAAAAGAAAATATTTTCTCTGAAAAATATTGTTATCGATAATATGTTCTATGAAAATATTATTATCGATATTTTTTCTATGAAAAATATAATTATCGATAATAATTTCTTTGAAAACTGTAGTTATCGATAATATGTTTTATGAAAAATATTGTTATCGACAGTATTTCATATGAAAAATCGATAAATACTATAATATTATTATCGATAATATTTTATATGGAAAATATTGTTATCAATAGTATTTTATATGGAAAATATTGTTATCGATAATATTTTCTATAAAAAAAAATATTATTGATTATATTTTCTATGATAAATATTATAATCGGTAATATTTCTTATGAGAAATATCGATAAAAATATCATAATCAATAATATTTTCTATGAAAAATGTTATAATATTTTCTATGAAAAATATTATTATCGATAATATGTTCTATGAAAAATATTATTATAGATAATATTTTCTATGAAAAATATTATTATCGATAATATTTTCTATGAAAACTATATTTATCGATAATATTTTCCATGAGAAATATTTTTATCGATAATTTTTGCGATGAAAAATATTGGTTTTCAATAAATTTTTATGAGATATATTATTATCGATAATATTTTCTATGAAAAATATTATAATCGATAATATTTTCTATAAAAAAATATTATTATCGATAATATTTTTGAGAAAACTACTGTTATCGACAATATTTCCTATGGATAATGTTGTTATCGATAATATTTTCTATGAAAAATATTATTATCGATAATATCTTCTATGAAAAATATTATTATCGATAATATTTTCTATGAAAAAAAAATTATCGATAATATTTTCTATTTAAAAATTGTTATCGATCATATTTTGTTTTAGAAAATATTTTCTATTGAAAAAGTTGTCGATCATTTTTGTTTTATAAAATATTGTTATCGATAATATTTTCTATGAAGCAATTTTCAAAAAATATTTTCCACGAAAAATATGGTTATCCGTAATAAATTCTATGTGAAAATATTATTTTCGTTAATATTTTGTATGAGAAATTTTATTATGGAAAATACGGTTGTCTACTGTCTCTCAAGGAAATATAACAATTATCGATAATAGAAGAATACATTACCATCGATAATACTTTCTTAAGAATATGTTACTATCAATAATAGTTCTACAAGAAAATATTAATATCGATAATATTTTCTCAAAGAAATATTGCTATCTATAATATTTATAAAGAAAATATTTTATCGATAAAATGTTCTCAAGAAAATATTGTTATCGATAATAATTTCTTAAGAAAATATTGTTACTACCAAGAAAATATTACTACCGATAATTTTTTTAGGAAATTTTTGCATTATCCTCTTATCCAACATATTGTATATAGGTGTAGATATTTTTGTAAACAATTTTAGGTTATCGATAAATAGTTATATATATTATCGGTTATATTTATTATTATTATTAAGGAATTAATATACTAATATTATATCATTTCCTTTTTTTATTACAGATTTCATCATACGACAATACAGCTCCAGGATGTGGAGCCCACAAAAAGGTCCTACACGACTGTGGGACCTTAGGTTTAGTGTTTTACTTATTTTACAATTAATGGTAAGTTTTGTTAGCATTTTTCTTTTCATAATATTTATAATTGAACTTGCACTAGAATTTTTCACCAACTGGTTTTATGGTCAATTCGTGGATCTAAAAAACAAGAAAAATTGGGAATAAATTATTTCTTTCAAAAATTTTGAACTTTTTGAAGTATCCACTCACCTGAACACGAGGTGGGGTTTGGAGGCAATAAATAACAGCATCCGAAATATCGGATGCCTCCAAAAATGCAAAATCTTTCATCAATTCCAAATCTTTGTCGCTGAATATTTCTGTTCTAACAACACCGGGGCTAATGCTATGGAAAAACAAAGAGAATATAATTATCTTTGAATTTTTATATAAAATTTCACAATTTCATCTTACCGTCACTTTCAATTTGGTGTTATGCATTAGAAATTCATTACGATAGACCTCAGTCATGGCGGTAATGGCATGTTTAGTTGCCGGATATATATTCGTGGACATACCCTCCATATGTATGACTTTATGCCCCGCAATACTATTGATAATAATAACATGACCTAAACCATCGGGATTTTTTGACATTGTCTTGAACGCTTCCCGAGTGCAGAATGCCACACCCATTATATTCGTATCAACAATGGCCCGCAAATCTTCTGTATTATTTTCCCTTACCAATTCCGTATTGCGAATAATGCCAGCATTATTTATCAGCACCGCTATCGGACCAAAGTCATTGACAATTTTATCAAATGCCTCAATAACCTCCGTCTCTTGTCGTACATCACATTTAAGTGAATGTAAACGTTTTTGTTTCTCCTTATCGTCAGGCCATGAGGCTGTGCGTAGCTCGTCCACTCGTTCTGGACGTCTAGCTAAACCAATAACAATCATTCCATTGTCCACCAAGGCTTTACAACATTCAGCTCCAATGCCAGCACTGGCTCCGGTCACCACTGCGATTTTATTGTGTCATTTTTCCATGTTGAAATTTTTTGTTATATTCAATGTTTTTGAATTGCAAAAATCTTCCGCGATGGTTGTGTTGCCTCGACGATCGTCTTGCGATGACTATTAATTGAAAAGAATATTGAATCAAAGCTAATGATAAAATTAAAATAAACAGATCGTCGCTCTGCTTTTTTGTTGCATACTTTATTAAAATAGAGTTGCCATGTTGAGTTTTTTTAATTCTATAGAAAAAGTCTTTGGCAGAACTATTTTATATAAAATAATAGTATAAATAATTTTTTACAGAAACTGGATGAATCTACTGATACTCGGAATCTTTTCCGATTTTCCAAAAATCTATACTCGAAAATGCCCTGCGATTTATTTTAGGGACAGAGGACTGATTTGTATCCGGTCATTACATAATCATTTACTTCGAAGTCCTTGTTTAGTTAGGACCTCTTCAAAATCTGGTTTCGAAGCTATTCACGATGTTTAAAATTGCATGAGGGTGGTAACTCTAGCCATTCATTTTTGTTTTTTTTTTCATTTTAATAAATTACCATTCAATTCACATCAGTTCTTTTTGTCTCTCATTCTCTACACATTCATAATATTTATAGAATAGTAGAAAAGCGCGCCGGCGGCTTATTAAACAAAATCAGAACAACAATTCATTCACGCTATAGGAAACGGTTCTAACTGCAACCGAATATTAATTTTATATTGTCGATAATAAAAATATATTATTTTAGAAATATGATCGATGCAAGTTTAACCAGTAAGGAAAGTAGTAAAGGGCCGACTATATGATACCCTTCACCACTTTGGGTATATTCTACATATGTATCTGAAAAGACGTCGCCTTTTTGACATTTTGACATGAAATTGAACGAACTTAAATATGTGATTTTTATGTCTTTCTGGAACCTATGCTAAATTTCATTTCATTTGGGCAAGTTTAGAGTCGTTTGCGCACAGTGGGACAGATTTGTGTAAATCGATTTAAAGCAAACTTGACACACGCGATTCGGTATGCTGGACTGTTTAAAATTTAATCTCAATTAAAAAGTCGATATTATATATGGAAGCTACGAGATATCTATATCTGAACCGATTTGAAGCAAACTTGCCAGAGATTAATTTATATTAAAATTGGACGAAAATATATATAGGAGGAGTACACATCATTCTAGACTTAATTCAATACGCTATGCCAAAATTCGTTCAAATCGAATGATTTTTAGAGACTTTGGTGCACCATTTACGTAAAATTGGACGAAACTATGTATGGGAGCTATATCTAAATCTGAACCGATTTTCACGAAACTTAGCACAAATCATTCTAGACTTAAATCAATATGCTATGCCAAAATTCGTGCAGATCAAATGATTTTCAGGGACTTTGGTGCACCATTTACCTAAAATCCGGCGAAAGTATATATGGGAGCTATATCTAAATCTGAAACGATTTTAACGAAACTTAGCACACATCATTCTATACCTAATTCAGTAGGCTATACCAAATTTCATGCAAATCGAAAGATATATAGGGACTTTGGTACCCCATTTACCTTAAATCGGACGAAAATATATATGGGAGCTATATCTAAATCTGAACCGTTTTTCCCAATTTCAATAGGGTTCGTCCTTGGGCCAAACAAATGAACTGTGCCAAATTTCATCCAATTCGGATCATAAATGCGACCTGTACTTTGTTTACAATTTAACATGGACAGACGGACAGACATGCATAAATCGTCTTAGAAAGTGATTCTATGCATATTCTCAAAAGGAACCATGTGTAGATCTCAATTATTTTTGCCTGTTACAAACACATGCACAAAGACATAATACCATGTACCACAGTGTGGTGAAGGGTATAAAAATGTCGCCGATAACAATAATTTTTGTGTGGAAAAACTATTGATTAAAATACAGAATCGATAATAATTTATTATGTAAAGTAAAATGTTGATTGCATTCAACACAATTATCGATAACAGTTATTTCTATAGGATATATAATTCATTACAATATTTTCTATAGGAAATATTATCTATAACAATTATTTATACAATAATATCAATATGAAAGCTACTACCGATAAGTAATTTCAATTGCAAATTTTATTGATAATAACATTTTCTACAAAAACCGATATTTTCTATCGATAACAACATTTTCTATAAGAAATATTATCGATAACAACATTTTCTATAGAAAATACTATCAATAGAAATAGTTCCTATGGAGAAACAATCGATAACAATATGATCTATTAAATATACGTTACAATATATTCTAATAATATCGATAACAATATTTATTATAGAAACTACTATCGATAACAATTTTTTTAGAGAAAATTCTATCAATAACAATATTTTCTATAGAAAATCCTATCGATAACAATATTTTCTATAGAAAATAATATCAATAACAATATTATCTACAGTAAGTAGTATCGATAACAATATTTTCTATAGAAAATAATAGCGATAACATTACATTCTATAGATATAATTTCGATAACATTATTTTCTATTGAAAATGCTTCCGATAGAAAAATTTTCTTTAGAAAATTTAACCGATAACAATATTTCCTGTAAAAAGCTTTGCCACTAACAAATTATTAATTTAAAAATGTTATCAATAACAATATTTCTATTCACAGGAATATCGATAAAAATAATTTATACGGAAAATCTTGTCGATAACATTATTTTCAATAGAAATTATTAGCGATAACATTATTTTCTATAGGAAACACTATCGATAACAACATTTCCTGTATAAAATACCATTAATAAAAATATTTTTTTTTTAGAAAATGTTATCTAAATCTAAATGTTCCAAAAAAAAATTTCGATAACAAAATTTTCTGTAGAAACAAAATTGTCTTACAAAAATGTTATTTTCTATGGAAAATGTTGTTTTTTTATAGAATATAGAAATCGATTTTCCATGTGGCAAATTTTTATTGTCGATAATCAATTGGGTTTATTATGAATTTGTCTCCGATAACTTCAAAAGAAACCCAAATTATCTTTAGGGTATTTATCGATAACTTTAAAAAAATCAAAACTTTTTTAATGTAGAAAACTCCATTTCTTTATTCTTAAAATTAGATCTGTTCTCCAATGGGCTTAATGATCATTTCGTGAATTTGAACATTTGGTGGAGTTTGTATACAATAGACAATGGCATCAGCAATATCTTCACTTGCCAAGGCTGGCATTTCAGGAGGGAAATCGATAATCTCTGTACGCACAGCACCGGGACTGATACTCTGAAAAATTACATTTATATTACTTCTCTTATATTCTAAGCTCTACCAGTCAAATTCTTACCGTAATTTTAATTTTAGTTTCATTCTTTAGCAATTCTTGACGTAAAACCTCCGTCATTGCGGTTATGGCATGTTTCGAAGGAGGATAAATATTCAACATAGGATCTGGTGTGGCAGGCACACCATGACCTACAACACTATTAATGATAACAATGTGACCATCAACATTACGTTCTTTCATATTTTTGAAAGCCTCCCGGGTACACCAAACAACACCCAAAACATTGGTATTGATGGTATCCTTTAGAATTGATTCATCGATATCAAGAAGACGACCCATTTTAATAATTCCTGCATTGTTGACCAAAACATCTACCCCGCCGAATTTCTCAACAATCCATGCAAAGGCCGTCTTTACACTTTCCTCATCTGACACATCACATTTGTAGGTGTGGAAATTCTTTTGATATTCGCTGGCAATTAAGGGTCTTGTTTGACTTTCCATCTTCTCAACACGTCTTGCGAGTCCGACGACAATCATACCCTTTTCGGCGAGAGCCTTACAGGTGGCCGCGCCAATGCCAGCACTGGCTCCTGTCACCACAGCGATTTTATTTTGCCAACGTTCCATGATTTTGCTGTTATCGGATTCCTCTGTAGGTGCGTTCACTTCGAAATGATTCTAATGACTGAATAGATTAGTTGTGCATTTCTCTCTACATAAATAAATAATTTCTATACACGATAGTAGTGTTTATTTTTGTTATTGTTGTCTTATTTGAGATCACCACTATCCACCGAAGGCGATACAATGACTGGCATTTTTTTGCTGTTGTATTTGGATAACCTGTCCCAATCAAATTGGTATGCAAATTTGCCGAAAATAATAACATAGTGTCCATGCTAATTAGATATGTGTGGTCTTCAGTGTACACTGAGAAAAATAATTGGGATACATAACGGAAATACTTTTGTGTTTTGTATAGCTAATATTTTCGATAACAATATTTTTTAAAGAAAATATTATCGATAACAATATTTTTTATTGAAGATACTGGCGATATCCAATAATATTTTTTGAGATAATATTATCGGTAAAAATATTTTTCATAGAAAATATTACGATAACACTAGAAAATATTATCGATAACTATATTTCTCTTAGAATATATTATCGATAACAATATTTTTCATTAAAAAAACTCTTGAGAATCGATAATAATACTTTCCATAGAAAATATTATAAATCAAAATATTTTTTCTATAAAATGTTACCGATAACAATATTTTTCATAACAAATATTGTCGATAACAATATTTGGCTTATATAAAATTATCGATAACTATAATTTTCATAGAAAATAATATTGATAATGATATTATTCATAAAAAATATAATCGACAGCTATAATTCGCATAGCAAATATTATCGATAACAATTGAACAAACTATGGAGAACGATACACAACAAAGAAAATCTTTTCGATAACTACATATTTCATAAAAATATTATCAATAACAATATTATTTATAGGAAATATTTTGCATAGAAAATATTATCGATAACTATATTTTTCATAGAAAATATCGATAAGGATACTATTCATAAAAATATTGTCGATAACAATATTTTTCATAGAAAATATTACCGACAACTATATATCGCATAGAAGTTATTATCGATAACAATATTTTTTATTGAATAAATTATCGATAGTATTAATTTTCATAGAAAATATTATCGACATTAATTTTCACAGAAAATAATAATTTTCATAGAAAATATTATCGGTAACAATAATTTTCATAGAAAACACTATCAATAACAATACTTTTCATAGTAAATATTTTTACAAGAAAAAAATTATCGATAACAATATTTTTCATCTGTAACAATTGGCACTCATTGATATTCATATCACAACTACCCCGCAAATAGAGAGGGAGGGAGAGAACATATGACACTAATAAAGCCCCATACAAAACACAATCATTACTTCAGTCGTAAACCTTAGTTATTCGGAATCACAACGAACATGGAACGTTGGCAAAATAAAATCGCTGTGGTGACAGGAGTCAGTGCTGGTATAGGGGCAGCCACCTGTAAGGCTCTCGTTGAAAAGGGTATGATTGTTGTGGGCCTCGCCAGACGCCTTGAGAAAATGGAAAATCAAACAAGGCCCCTGATCGACAGTGAATATCAATTGAATTTCTACACACACAAATGTGGAAAGTGTAAAAACGGCCTTTGCTTGGATTGTGGAGAAATTCGGTGATATTGACGTTCTGATCAACAATGCCGGTGTCTATCAAATGACATCTATTGTTGATCCCAATAATAATCACTGTTGTGATTGTTAATAGTGTGGCAGGTCATATTGTTCCGACTTTTGTAAATGGTTATAATTTGAATATTTATCCACCCACTAAGCATGCTGTCACCGCTATGACTGAGGTGCTAAGGCAGGAATTTTTAGCACAAGGAACTAAAATAAAAGTAACTGTAAGTTTTGAAAAGCTATTTTACTGTTCTACGAGAATTAGGTCGAATTATTTTTAGAGTATTAATCAGAACCTAAAAAGGACTTAAAACACTTTCAAAATAAACGACTCATATGAAATTCCACTATAGAAAATATTGATATTGACAGATATCGGTAATATGAATGTATTATTGATAATATTTTCAATATTGAATACTGTTATCGATAAAATAAAAATAACACATTCTAAAAAAATGTTGTTATCGATTACATTCTACTGAAAATATTGTTATCGATAAAATACAAAACATTTATATCGATGAAAAAATTAAAAATGTTCTATAAAAAAATTTTATCGGTAAGACTTTTGCTCGTATGCGATCCATTTCTCATCTCCAGTCAGTCATCTTCCGTTTAGCTAAGGCTTCGCAGATGGAAATTCGTGTGCCACCCAAACATCGAGCTTATTTTTGAATCGAGTTTTGTGTAAATGATTTAAAAGAGTTTTATGGTCGATTTTTAGCTCCTGGGCGATGTTACGACTGCTGACATTCCGGTCAAATTTGATCATTTATCTGATTTTATTGACATTTGCGACGACCGGGCTAATGAATTTCATTTACGGGGTCTTCGAAAAAACAAAATTTGTACAGGAAGAATTACTTTATTCAAAATTAAGATGGAATGCCAAATTCGGTGGGAATAGCCTGTGAAATTCCGATTATACAGACGTTCTTTATATGTGTATTATATTAAAATATGAAACTGTATAGAACATATTTTACACATACACAGCCACATGGACCCTCATCACTTGACAAATAACTGGCACTTGGGTCAAAAATTCGTCAGAAATCTTCAAAATACCAAAAATAGGTCGTGATCTTTATATGAGGGCTATGGTAAGGCATGGTCTTGTATCGATAAATGTCATCGAAGATATATTTTCGATCTTCATTAAACTGAAATGTCAAATTATAGCTGCTATGGAAGGAAATTGATGCTGAAACTTTAAAATATTTATCAAAGCTTGGACTTGTATCGGACTGGTATCTTCGAAGATTTTTTTCGCTCAAGACAAGACAAAAAATATATAAATCTGGTTCAAAAAATTGGCGATCTAGATCTGTCTTCGACTACTACTGACGCGTTTGGCATAATGAAATCACTTCATAATCTGCAATTTAAACGATTTTTTAGTGTTCGTAAATATAAGTGTTCGGGTAAAAAAATTATATAACGACGGTAAAGTTGAACAAGGACTCGAGATAGGAGGAAGATATCTTTCACAAAAATATTCCTCATTTGATTAGACTGAAGAAATGTCATCTCAAAAATATCCTGTAGTAGCCTCAAAAATTGATATATAGGGTTTTCTTCATGAACTTCAGAGTTACCTTAAAAAATGCAAATCGGAGGTATGGGCCTCTAAAGTTCTGCAGGGCAAATATATAAATATTTCCTCATGCTTTTAAAATTCACTAAGGGTCACTGTGGGTATCAATTTAAAGCGTTTGAAATTTTTATTACAGAACTGTTATTTTCTTATCCACGAAGTTTATATTTCCTGAAATATTGGACTCTAAAATTCCGCGAGTACCCCTTTAACATTATCTAAAGCAATAAGGATTTCAATTAAGAGCGTCTGAAGTGTCTGTTGCTAAAATGTAATTATCTATACTAATAAAAATGTAAAGAGATTGACTGACTGACTGGCTTAACGATTCATCAACGTCTCCTAAGAAATTTTCCACCCTTCAAATTCTTGTTGCACCGTGATATCATTAAAATTATTTTATTTAAAAATATTCTTGGAATTCGTAATTAACAAAATTAAATCTTCTCTCCAAGTGGCTTAACTATCATTTCATGGACTTGAACATGCGACGGAGTCTGTATGCAGTAGACAATTGCACTGGCAATATCTTCCGGGGCCAGCAAAGGCATATCAGCTGGATATTCATAATTTTGACCAAAAAGTTTTGTCTTCACTTCACCGGGACTGATGCTCTAAAGAAAAAAAAAAAACAAAAAATTGGAATTAAATATCAATAATGTTTAGAAATTATCCGCCTACTTACCGAAACTTTTATTTTCGAATTATGCGTTTGCAATTCCTGACGCAAAACCTCCGTCATTGCCGTAATGGCATATTTAGTAGATGGGTAAATATTCAAACCCGATGAGTCTGCCAATGTATGTCCCACAATACTATTAATATTAATAATATGACCATCGAATTTACGTTCCGTCATATTACGATATGCTTCCCGGGTACACCAAACAACACCCAAAATATTTGTATTCACCGTGGAACGTATTGCTTCCGAATTGTCGGGTGAAATTAAATAGGTATTATAGACCAACATACCAGCATTATTTATTAGAACATCGATGCCACCAAATTTTTCAATTATCCATGAAAAAGTTGCCTTGACGCTGTCCTCATTGCTAACATCACATTTATAGGCATGGAAATTCTTTTGATGACGCTCTTCAAGTAGTGGTCTTATTTGGGTTGTAATTTTATCGAGTCGTCTGGCTAGGCCCACAACAATCATACCTTGCTCGACAAGGGCCTTACATGTGGCTACACCAATACCTGAACTGGCTCCAGTTACAACTGCGACTTTGTTTATCCAACGATCCATGGTAGTCGAAGTTTTTTATTTCGTTTTTGGTAATTATTTTCCCTTTTGTTTTTGGTTTAAAAGTGAATTGCTTCCATTGGTTTTAGTGGGGGGTTTATATACTGCAATTAGGGCTGCATCGAATGGGTTCTTCTTTGTCTTATTAATTAAATCAAAATTGTTAGAAATATGAGGGTTATTTACATGACTATTTTTTATAGCTATCATTTTGTTGGGTATTTTTGATTGGTTGAAATAAATTAATACGCTTTATTTTTTGTAAACATTTAAACAGTATAATCAAATCATTTTAAAATATTTTATGAATAATACTGTGACACAAAATCGAGAGAAAGAATGCCCTAGGTGATTGTAATAATAATAATATAGAAGGAATAATATTCCATACGTCATGTTTTTGAATTATGGCGTGATTCATTTTTTTTTTGCTGGTAACTCTAAAGCGCATGAAGAAAACGCTTTACATCTCTGTTTGAGGCAAATGCAAAGTTTTTTCTGTGATGACATATCTTCAGTCAAATCGAATGAGAAATATTTTCGTAACACATGTCGTCCTTCTATGTCGAGGGTTTGTATCTATTATTTTCGTGAATTGTAAAGTAAATACCACAAGACGACAATTTTCAATCTTCATAGGGCTTACAAATATAATAGAACTGTGTATAATTTACGACTTCGAAAGGTAAACAGCGCCATTGCTCTAGCACCGGATCCAGTTAATTCGAAGTATAGAAGGATATGTTTTATAAACAAATATTCCTTATTCGATTTGAATGGAGACATGTCATTATCTCAAAAACAACCTGGTTTAACAAACCAGAGGAAAGGAAACTCAACCTCGTAAGGAATTTCCCCCTCCATTTTCGATATTTTGAAGGTTTTCCAAACAAAGTTAGTATAATTCGATTGTACTGATTCTTAGGTCCCTTGATTACGACGATATACTTTCTTTCTTGTGAAAATTCGCATTTTCGGAGATATGGAGTTCTGCAAAGCCCATATCTCCATATTTTCACATGCTTTTTATACCCTTCACCACACTGTGGTACATGGTATTTTGTCTTTGTGCATACGTTTGTAACAGACAAAAGGAAACGAGATAGACACTTGGTTCCCTTTGAGAATATGCATAGAATCACTTTCTAAGTCGATTTATGCATGTCCGTCCTTCCGTCCGTCTGTCTCTTTGTCTGTATGTACATGTAAAATTGTAAACAAACTACTGGTCGCATTTATGATTCGAATTGGATGAAACTTGGCACAACTCATTTATTTGGCCCAAGGACGAACCCTATTAATATTGGGAAAAGTCGGTTCAGATTTAGATATAGCTCCCATATATATTTTTGTCCGATTTAAGGTAAATGATGCACCAAGGATTGTGAAAATCGACTACTAGAGTTTTTTTTTTGCAAATAGAGAGCAGGACTTCTATGAGAGAGGCATTATGAAGTTACCTTTAAAATGGCAACAAATCATACAACAAAACGGTGCATATTTGGTCCAAATCGGACATTCCGAAGCATGTTAAATAAAGTCCTATAGTTCATATAAAAATAATGAATTTCTTTTTCCCCAACCAAATATAATATTTAGACATTTTTAAATAATTCTCAACATTGTGCCATGTATATGGAATTCGGTGCTCCTAGTGAGAAAAAATGTTTTGTCAGAAAATAGTTGAATATAGGTTCCGCTGATTTATCCTCATATTAAGTGGTCGAACGATTTAAGCTATTTTGTATACATGGACCGAATTTAGCGCTGTTTTTATTTATTTATTTATATAGGAAATAGTATTAATATTACACCCATACTGCCTAAGTAAGCAATGTCTGTAGAGTTTCTCACGGTGTAGCTGTTTTCTTATCAGATTCTGTTAGTCTTGTTTAATTGTTAATCTATTAACAGTTCCCAAAATGTATATTATTTATTGCTGGACGCGTGCTACTCACTTTTTTGTTTACATTAAAAATGCTAATCATGACAGGTAGTGGCGCTCGCTCGTAAGGTTCGTTATTGTTATCTCTATTTGGTGTGTGCATAGCAGTGACTTGCTTTTTATTTTAATAAGTGGTTGACAAGTATTATTGTTACGCAGTTATGATATGGATATACACTGTACAAAAAATATCGTTGTCATTTTCATAAGAAAACATATAAAAGACGTCGGCAGGGCCAAACCTTTTATACACTCCATTTAAAATACCAAAAATTGGTCGGAACTTTTATTTGGGAGCATAAGTCATGATAAATGATTGATCTATCAAAGCCATTAGATACCATCTGTCACGCTAATTTGTTCGAGGACATCGAACGAACTACCCTCCCGCCATGTTTGAAACGTTGAATGTGTGGATTGAGAAATAAGAAGTCAAAGACCCTTATAGGAAATCCACGTCCACCCATCGTGGCGGCAGGTCTAAAATTTAATGACATCTTCTATACATTGAACAACTCTTACACAGACATAACAGAATTTTCCAAGGAAGGAAATGGACAGCCAAACAGTTTACAACATCGAATATGCGGCTACCTCTGAATGTACAGGTCGATAAGATCATGAGCAGGGACAAAGTTCTCAAATCACTAGACAGCACACCTGGGTAGTTGACAAAGCAACTTTATCGTGGCATTTTTGTCATCGGCTGATAACCCAATTCAATTTTCCGTAAATCCTACATATTTCGAACAAAAATAGACGCTATTTTCAGATATATTATAATTAATTCTTATTTAAAGTCCTTAAATATGTTCTCGCTAATCTTTTGAGACCTGATTAACCCATATTGACCCACAATCATCTGGGGGCATATAAATACGGCCTCCCACTAGCATAAATATGAATTTTCTTATGTGCACTTGACAGAAATCGCAGTGATTTGCGTCTATTGACCACTTAAAACATGTTAACCGATATCGTTTAACCAAACGATAAACGGTCGAGATAATTTCCTAGCCTGATAAGAAACGGAACGGAATCGATTACCACAGCATGACGTAGAGGTGAAATAAGAAATTCAACATTTTAAACGATAAGATATGATTTGAAATTTAATCGACATGTTCTACGGTCAATGCTAAGGCAATTCAATAGAGACATAGAACAGTTCCTAAGCCAAAAGGCAAACGACTGGTCATACCACAAAATTAAACTATCCGAAAAGAAGAGAGAGAAAAAACACCGACAAAATGGATCGTTGGCAAAATAAAGTTGCTGTGGTTACGGGAGCCAGTTCGGGTATTGGTGCTGCGATTTGTAAAACCCTTGTTGAAAATGGTATGATTGTAGTGGGACTGGCACGCCGTTTGGTGAAAATCAATACCAACGTAAAAAATGCTTTACCCGTGGATAAGCAACCAAATTTCCATGCTTTCAAATGTGATGTGAGCGATGAGCAGAATGTCAAAGAGACCTTTGCATGGATTGAAGATAAATTCGGTGGTGTCGATGTCCTCATCAATAACGCCGGGGTAATGAAAAATATACCTCTTTTGGCTAAACACAATTCCGATGACATTAAGGCCACCCTCAATACCAATGTCTTGGGTGTTGTTTGGTGTACACGTGAAGCTTTTCGTTCGATGCGTCAACGTAACGATGGCATGGGACATGTTTTCATCATCAACAGTACGGCTGGTCATAGCGTACCCACTTTTCCGGGTATTAATTTTAATATTTATCCATCGTCGAAACATGCTGTCACGGCCATGACTGAAGTGTTGCGTCAGGAGTTCCGAAATGAAAAGACAAAAATTAAAATAACTGTAAGTTGTGGAAGGATAATGAAATAATTTCTTTGAAATAAATTGAAAATGATATTTTGTTTTCGTAGAGCCTTAGTCCTGGTGGTGTTCAAACAGAAATTTTAAATGTGGGTGAAGTGCCACAAGGAATTCCCATTCTCCAACCTGCAGATGTTGCCGATGCAGTACTGTTTTGTTTGAAAACTCCTCCACATGTCCAAATTCATGAATTGACCATTAAACCAGTTGGCGAATTGATGTGAAATGTATATGTCTACAGAATTTAGTGGTGTAAATAAACAAGAAGAACATTTTTTTAATGATATAATGAAGTTTTATGCATATGTGTTGAATAGTTTTCAAGAAGATTTATTTTACCAAATTCAAATGATAAACCTGTGAGCGGAGCAGTATAGTCGGACGGGGCCGACTATAACATTGTGTTGTTCTATATTCTGGTCAATATTTCACGATATTTTCACCCTCATGACCGACTAGAGGTCAACAAATATTATTAATATTCGGTACAGCCCTTCTAATTACTTGTCCAGCTTCCCTTCACCGTGGGTTGTGATGTTCGGCTTTCAATTGTGGCCTATAGATCAACTGAAAGAAACACAAAAATTAAGTTTTCGGTCCACTTCATCCCAATATTATTATCTGATCATCACCGAAAATTATAGGCGTTGTCCTTGACTATACCTGGATACTCATGGACAATTTCAAAGCGATTAGCGCCATATTTTAATCCTCTAGTGTGGAAATGGGTTACTAAATAATAAATGAATACATAAGCACCTGCAAATATATAAGTGTATCTCCCACATCCGAGTACATACGACAATATAATTGGTATCAAGTTCAAGGTCAATCATTCCTCTTGGATACACTGTCAACTTCTCGGGTCCATGTCCTTCAGGGGTAAATATATAGGCCATCGAATACAAATTTTGTAATTTTTCACACTAATGTCAGTGCCCATATGGCCCGCAAAATATTGACCGATCTTTATCAAAACAGGTATGCTTATTCTTTGGCCCGATTCCCTTATACACGTAAAAATTCACGATGTTTCGCGGCGTTACAACATTTTGGGGCTGCACAAAGCTATAATACCCTGACAACATAGTTGTGTAGGATATAAGGAATGTAAAAAATCCTGTAAACCTGTTAAAATCAAATTGGTCTATACAAGAATTTTTCATAGAAAATTGTAATTGTTCGAAAAAAGCCTCTGAGTCTAAGATCTTCTGACTTCGCTGCCATTTATGTGCGATGTTTACTCTGAAAAGACATAATCTAGATATATTGGTAGCGTATTTAAGAGAAGTTGGCCGGAATTGGGCCATTTGACACAAGAACAAGTTAATACGATGTTATGTTCGGCCTAATGGGGTCTCCTAGGAGAAAACTCATGTTACGATAGGACATTGCATATACCAAAAACGATGAGAAAAATATATTATATGTTGAAAAACGAGTCAAAAATCCCCAAACTGTCTACTATTGGGGGTACCGTTATATGTGGTTACCCGTATACTTGGTAAGTGATATATAATATCAAAATACCAAATTACAGCTAATTCGCTTGAAAAAGGTGTCCAAATGCCTCTATATACCGAATATTGGGAGGCATCGTTATATGGGGGCTACACCAAGACGTAGACCGATATATCCCATTTGCAATACCAAACATCCTAGGAGTACCAGCAATTGATGATTTCAACAGAGAAACAGACAATTGTGTTCGCTGTGCAACATTTTGTCTCAATCGAACAAATATTGGCAGTATGGTGCTCCATTTTCATAAAATGGAACCCAACTATATATGTGAGATGTATCTAAACCTGACCGATTCCAACAACATTTAGCAAACATCAATTTGGACCTAATTCAGTTGTTCCAAATTTTGTCTCAATCGGACAAATATTGGCAGTATGGTGCTCCATTTACATAAAATCGGACGAAACTATATATGGGAGCTATATCTAAATCTGATCCGATTCCAACAAAACTTCGCATACATCAATCAGTTCGCTGTGCAAAATTTTGTCTCAATTGGACAAATATTGGCAGTATGGTTTTCCATTTTCATAGAATCGGACGAAACTATATATGGGTGCTATATGTAAATCTGAACCGATTTTCTCCAATTCTCCAATGGGGTTTGTCCTTGGGTCAAATGAGTGATCTGTGTCAAATTTCATCCAAATCGGATCATAAATGCGACCTGTACTTTTTTCACATAAATCGACCCAGAAAGTGATTCTATGTATATTCTTAGAAGGAACCATGGGTTTATCTCGATTCGTTTTGCGTGTTACAAACATATGCACAATGCAGGGACGTACGCAGGGGGGGGGGGGCGGCCCGAAATGAATTTTTTTCACAGTAAATTTATGTTTGCAACAGAGAATTTTTTCATTTTGTACTACCGGCCCCCCCGATATGAAATCCTGCGTACGTTGCTGGCACAATGACATAATACCCTGTACCATAGTGTGGTGAAGGTTATAAAAAGTTATAGGTCGTTTTTCACTTTGCAATTTTAATTGCTTGCCACCAGTGCTTTGAATATAAGTAAAAATTCTTATAACTAAAGCCATGATTTTTTTTATTCAAAAAATTTATTTTCCTACTTCGTTCTACTTTACCACTATTTACGCTCATTTGTCCTATCTCTTTCTCTCTCTATCTCTCTCTTTTAATAACCATCATTCGTCGTTGTACTGCTACCGACCTCTGAATTGGTATGCTCTAGAATTCTCATCTGCCTTTTCCAAATTATTTTGATGCAAATGCAAAATATAATACATCAAACAAGTGTGACAAACAAGTGAACAAGTGTGTTGATCAACAAGCCGTATGTTTAAATTGTTATAGTCAATAGTGCCATCGAAGTTTTAGGTTTTTCTCTCTATTGAAATCACGATAGAGATCGCAATATTGCAACTGTTCCTAGAATATTTGCTATCACGCCATTATTCGGAATTTTTAAGCTTTTGGAAACGTTTTTTAATCCAATCACTGGGTAGAAAATATTTCGGCGAAAAATTATCAATATTGATTCACTTTTTAGGGTAGCACCCATGCAACGTCACATCCAAAATTTTCGTATTTTCGGAAGTTCGACATGTGACTGTTATTTTATATTTGTGGTGGAAAATTCGTTATTTTTTATGTAAAGGATTTAAAACAGTTATGATCCATTTTTAGATCCTGGGCGATGTTACGACTTATAACATGCCGGTCAACTTCTATAATGTCTCCGATTTTATCGACATTTTCGATGGCCGGGCTACCTGTTCGAGGTGCATTTTTAAGATCAAAAATTTCTGAACGGAATTTACGAAACCAAAATTGCATTTTCGCCATTGCAAAAGAAAACCTTAAAATGTACCGAAATTTCTACTTTTTCACCTCCATTTTTAACACTCTGTAACTCACAACTGAATGCATCAAACAAAAAACAGCCAAATATTTTTATACCCTTCACCACACTGTGGTACAGGGTATTATGTCTTTGTGCATATGTTTGTAACAGGCAAAAATAATCGAGATAGACCCATGGTTCCTTTTGAGAATATGCATAGAATCACTTTCTGAGTCGATTTATGCATGTCCGTCTGTCCGTCCGTCCGTCCGTCCGTCCGTCCATGTATTTTTGTTAACAAAGTACAGGTCGCATTTATGATCCGATTTGGATGAAATTTGGCACAGGTCACTTAATTGGCCCAAGGACGAACCCTATTGAAATTGGAAAAAATCGGTCCACGTTTAGGCATAGCTCCCATATAAGGGTACCCCAAAATTTTCGGTATTTTGAGGTTCTTGAGCGCGTTTTTTAACTGAATTCGCTGAAATTTAGTACTTCGAGTTCTTATTGGGTAGCAAATCTCTCTACCAGAAATTATAAATAAAGGTCCATTTTTTCGGATAGCCCCCATATAAGATTACCCCCAATTTTCGGTATTTTGGGGGTTTTGATCGCATTTTCCGACCGAATTCGCTGAAATTTGGTACTTTGTGTTCTTATTGGGTAGCACATCTCCCTACCAAAAATTATAAATAACGGTCCATTTTTTCGCATAGCCCCCATATAAGGGTACCCCCAAAATTTCGGTATTTTGAGGTTCTTGAGCGCGTTTTTTAACTGAATTCCCTGAAATTTTGTACATTGAGTTCTTATTGGGTAGCAAATCTCCCAACCAAAAATTATAAATAAAGGTCCATTTTTTCGGATAGCCCCCATATAAGATTACCCCCAATTTTCGGTATTTTGGGGGTTTTGATCGCATTTTTCGACCGAATTCACTGAAATTTGGTACTTTGTGTTCTTATTGGGTAGCAAATCTCCCTACCAAACATTATAAATAAAGGTCCATTTTTTCGGAAAGCCCCCATATAAGGGCACCCCCAATTTACGGTATTTTCGGGTTTTTGGGCTCGTTTTATAACTGAATTCGCTGAAATTTTGTACATTGGGTTCTTATTGGGTTCCAAATTACTCCACTAAAAATTATAAATATAGGTCCAGTTTTTCTGGTAGTACCCATATAACGGTACCCCAAAATTTTTGGTATTTTGGGGGTTCTGATCGGATTTTTCGACCAAATTGACTGTAATTTAGTACGTCGAGTTCTTATTAGGTAGCACATCTCTCCACTATAAATTATAAATATTGGTCCATTTTTTCTGGTAGCCCCCAGGTTTTGAGGTTATTGAACCAAATTTTTTTTTCTGGTACAGGGTATTATGTTTTTGTGCATATGTTTGTAACATGCAAAAATAATCGAGATAGACCCATGGCTCCTTTTGAGAATATGCATAGAATCACTTTTTGAGTCGATTTAAGCACGAAATTTGGCACCGCGTAGCAAATTAGGTCTAGAATGATGTGTGTAAAGTTGCCTGAAAATCGGTTCAGATTTATATATAGCTCCCACATATACTTTCGTCAGATTTAATGTAAATGGTGCACCACAGTCCCTATATATCTTTCGATTTGCACGAAATTTGGCACAGCGTAACAAATTAGGTCTAGAATGATGTGTGTTAAGTTTCCTGAAATCGGTTCAGATTTAGATATAGCTTCTATATCTGACCAAATGAAGAATTTAGTATCGGTTGCAGAATGACGTGTTTATGGTTCCAATTTCATTTTACTGGTCCTTTAAAAATGCGACTTCTGTTAGGATTTATCTGTTGAATATACTCAAAGTGGTGAAGGGTATCATATAGTCGGCCCCGTCCGACTTTACTA